GTGCCAGGAGGAGCGGCTGGAGAGGAGCCGGCAGGCACTGGCGCTGCAGCTGCAGGAGTACCAGCAGAGCCTGGAGAGGCTCCAGGATGGCCAGAAAATGGTGGAGAGAGAACGAGACAGAGTGAAAATGCAGCTTCTCTGGCACTGGAAGCATGGTCAACGCAGTAACCTGTTGTCATCCAGCGGTAGCTATGAGGTGTGTGGTTCCCCTCTGTGGTTATATCCCCAAATGCAGACCTAGAGAGACTTTCCTTGATGAGTAAACTAGTACATCTGAGTTTTGTTGTTGGTAACATAGTGACAGAAAATGTAGGAAGCTGAAGTTCATGCATATCCAAGGACTTTGGTTGAACCTCATTAATTTTAAGTGCAAAGTCCTGCCCCTGGGAAGTAACAACCCCGTGCATCAGTATTTGCTGGGGGCCACCCAGCTGGAGAGCAGCTTTGCAGAAAAACATCTATGGGTCCTGGTGGACACCAAGTTAAACATAAGCCAACAGTGTGCCCTGACCACAAAGAGAACTGATGGCCTCCTGGGCTGCATTGGGCGAAGTATTGCTAGTAGGTCAAGGGAAGTGATCTTTCTCCTCTGTTCCAGCCACACTGGGAGTACTGTGTCCAATTCTGGCTCTGCAGTTCAAGAGAGAGACATAGAGCTAGAGGGTGGGGAGCATGGAGGTGGGAAGAATAGTGGTCCAGTGAAGGGCCACAAAGATGTGTGAGGAGCTGGGGCATCTCTCCTTTGAGGAAAGATTGACACTGTTCAGCCTGGAGAAGAGAAGGCTGAGGGGGGATCTTATTAATGTATACAAATACTTGACGGGTGAGTGTAAAGGGGATGGAGTCAGGCTCTTTCCAGGGATGCTCAGTGGCAGCAGCAGAAGCAGCGGTCATATACAGAAACACAGGAGGTTCCCTCTGAACATCACGAAACAGTTTTCTCCCACAAGGGTGTCCAAGCACTGGCACAAAACCATCTGAACATGGCCTTAGCATCTTGCTCTGGCTGCCCCTGCTTGAGCAGGGGAGTTGGACCAGATGACCTCCAGAGGTCCCTTTCAATCTCAATTTCAACCATTCTGTGATCTTAAGCTATGTACCCTACAGAAGCCATACTCAGACTGATGGGTATTAACTTGAGGAGATGGAAATGTTTTGTGTGAGAATCAGTGTTTTCTTCTGTTTTGCTGCTGTGTTTGCAAAATACATTGCGTCTTCCACTTCTTGTAGGAAAGCTAAATTATTATAGTGCTTGAGGCATATAAAGCTTTTAGTGAAGTCTTTGGCTGCTGTCCTCATTCCTGGACTACTGCACTGTCTCTAGTGAGGAGCAGTGGCAGCTCTAGGAGTGGGAAATGCCAGCTTCCCATGATCCCTACATGTCAGGACCTGCTGTCCTGCTCCCCTAAAACAATCAGACCCTTATGGGAAGAGGCTGGTGTGTGGCTCCATCCCTGACAGTATAATTTCTTTAAGAGCGTCATTATTATGGGATGCAATTTAAAGGAGCTCTGAAGCTGCTTAAGTATTTAGTACTAAAAGTGATTAAATTTTTCTTGAGAGTGAAGTGTAGAGGCTAACTCTGAACACAGCTGTCTGGGTGCTCACTTCCCAGGTGGGACTTGGCTTCTAGTCTCTGCCTTGGAGAGTACGGTCTTGATTTCTCTTACTGTTCTCTAAAGCACATGAAATTCAAAATATTTTGCCTGGCTTTTGCATGTATTGTAAGCTTACTGACCCAAAGAGGTTTTTTTTCCCCTCAGGTTATTGTTTTCACAAGAAAATCTGTAGAGCCTTTCCACAGGCCATCACTTCTTTAGTTTTTCACCTGGCAACTGACCCATAATAAGCAGTGACCATTTGGCGTCTAAGCCTGTTCCTGCATGCAGGAGCGCAGGATTGGCCTCTGACCTCCTCCTTTTCATCAGCTTTTGTGAACACCATGTGAACATGTCTTATCCATATATGCTTGCCCAGCCCAAACAACGAAGGTACTTCTTACTAGCGTAGCTTATGGCACAATTTTGACTGGTTAGGCAGTGCTTAAGAAGTAGACGATAAAACCAAAACTGGACTTTCTTGTCCATTTTGGTGGATGGGACTTCTGAAGTTGTTTGAGGAGAGGAAGTTGAAGGATGAGTGCCTGACCCAGGGATGGCCAGGATTTTACAGATGGAGAGGCAAAATACGCTGAGTGTCAAAGAGAGTAGTAGTTCTTAATTGAGTATGTAATGCGAAGGGTACTTGTATTTTTATTTCAAGTAAACTACATGGCTTTGGTGCATTCCAGGCCTTGGGATTGTCTTTATCCTGCATTTTCCACTACTATTCTCCTTGCAGCAGCAGAGCTGGCTGAGTAGTTGCTAGTCAGCCAATATTTCCAGCCCAGTGTTTTTGCCATGACACTGAACGTAGCTAATTTTGAATGACCAAGTATTGCAGTAACTCACGCTGCTACTTCTGCTTTCATGTGGACTCAGCCTTGTTAACCACCAGCAGGCAGGGAGCCTTAGCAGAAGCTGCACTTTCAGCCCCTGGGAACCAAGGCTGCTTGCTGAATGCTGTTTGCCATCCCCAGTTTGACTGCTGCAGTCCTCTTCTCTCTGATTACCTACCTGTATGAGGTACAGTGTTATTTTTGGATTGCAGTGCACAAAGATTTACATATGTGAAGGGGTACCTCCTGGAGCCATGGGGCAAAATATTAACCCTCTGAAAGCAGTCAGCAGTGCTCAGTGTATCTCAGGTAGTGGCCCTTGGTTATTTGCTATTTTGCAATTATTACTGAGCTTTCCTTTAGTTTGAGGGGAGCTAAGGCAAAATGTACTGGGTAATCACTGTTTATTCCTGAAGGTACATCCAGTTTAACATGTTTTGACATTAACTTATGGAAATTAGATAACTATTTGCTATGAATCCTCATTCTGTCTTGCATTTAATTTATGTATCCTGATATATAGGATTCTTCTAAAGGATTCTTCAGGACAATGTTCATAGTCACACAGTTTAGTTTTAGGTAGACATATGAGGAGTAGAGAATTTGGCTTCTTGATTCTTATGGGTCCCCTCCAACTTGAGATATTATATGATTCTATGGTTCTGGTGCTGGATAAGGGTGAAAATGCTGTTTTCTGTTCTTTTTCTCCTTCTGCAGATAGTGGGACACAATCAATCAGACAGCATATGCGGCGAAAATACATTCTACTTAAATGAAGCTGTAGTGTGTTTGTCTCTAAGCAGTCTCAACAGATCAGATTCTTCTCTTGTTTTTGAGGATGGTGTTTATGGGCTGAACATCTCAAATTCTGATGTAGCAAGGACTAGCAAAAATCAAGTGGACTTCAAAATGGACACTTCTTGTCAGCCAACGTTAGCCAATGCACTGTGGAAATCCACTGGTCCTTACCAGCAGATGTCTTTTTCCTGCGAAAGCAACAAGGATGCTTTTAATAATGGTAATTAATACTTAATTTAATTAACAGGTGGTACTGGCAGTTTGCCACCTCTCAGGATGAGTAGTCCTAGGAATGAAGACAGCTTGGTAGTGGTGGAAGCAATAGATTTTGCTGAAACAATTGGATGCTATTTTGCAAGCCTATTGAGGGTAGGTCAGGAAATGAGCAGAATAGAAATACTAAAAACTATTGAAAAAAACCCCACAACCCCCCTGTTTGTGTCTGCATAACAGTACTCAGAATGTTGTTCTTTCCAAATCCTTTCCCAGTGCCTTTTGTCTTGGTGTTTTTTGTTTTTGTTGTTATTTTTTTCATTTGTTTGGTTTGGTTTTGGTTTGGTTTTGGTTTGTGTTTTTTTTTTTGTTTAGTTGTTTTTTGGGGTTTTTTTGTTTGTTTTTTTGAGCCTAAGTCACTCTTGCTGTTCAAGGGCATTTTATTGACTGTTTTAAAACATAAATGCATAACTTGATTTCAAATTTGAATAGCTCAATTTATTGTATTAAAATAATAATCAACAGTCAAACACCCTCTTTCTTCATTGAGGATGAAATTAAAATATTTTGAAAGACTCTGTAGTTGTGGAAGGAAAATTACATCACTTCTAAGGGATAATAAAATCTTTGACAGTGAATTTCGATGTCAGCAAAAATAGCTCTTATTGCATTACCCCAAAGATAAAGAACCAAGTGATAGAACAAGAGGAAATGGCCTGAAGTTGTACCAGAGGAGGTTTAGTTGGAACACTAGGAAAATTTTCGTTACTGAAAATGTTGTCAAGCATTTTAACAGCCTGTCCAGGGAAGTGGTGATGTCAGCATTAGTGGACGTATTTAAAAGATGTGTAGACATGGTTCTTAGGGACATGATTTAGTAGTGGACCTCGCAGTGCTAGGTTAACAGTTGGACTTCGTGATCTTACAGATCTTTTCTAAGCAAAACTATTCTATGACTCTAATGAGATTGCATGGCAATTATTGATGGTAGCTACCAAAGTAAGTGGAAGAAGGCACCTATTTTAGCACTGCATTGCATTAAAAATTCCCTGAGGAGCTTAAAAACACTCTAATGAGAAACTAAACTTCTGGTTTTACTTCTTATGCTGCACAATGCTATTTCTGATCTGACTTGGTGTCTTCATTCTTTCATTAATGTGAGAGTTGTAGAGGAGCATGTGAAAACACAACTGAAAGTCTTAAAGGACAACAGTGCCCTTTTGCTGTAATAGATTAAGTAATCTGGGGGGAGTTTCCTACACAGTTGTGAAATTCAGGTGAGACATTGGAAGTCATCACTGCAGCAGTGCACGAGCTCTCATTTTTGTGCAGCTGGCAGTGTAGGGTGACTTCTGTTCTCACACCAGCTGCATGCATGTCAGGTCCCAGCAAAGACCAGTGGGCAGCAGGATCAGGAGTTAGAAACATACATAGGTACAATGGTTTTTGTTTTATGTCAAACATGTTTTATGTACAACAAAGTAGTACAAAGAAGTCCTTGATTAAGGAATACGCTGCTTAGTACTCCTTGCAACGTGTTAGGCAGGCATCCACTACATCCTTACTAGTGCTTAGTACATAGATTGCTGAAATAGCATTTTGTAATCAAAGGGAGGGCAGGCTGGTCTCATCACCACAATCAGCAAACCAAGCTGATTAGTGAAAGAGATTAGCATTTCTAAAAATGCCTGAATAATTAGCCTGGTGAAACTTGTTTTAGTTTGACTGAAGTTGTCATTTTAGTAACAGGCTAGCTAAGATAGCACAAATTTGAAAAGGAACACATACGTGGGTTTAAACCTCTCATAAGTGGATTAGCTTGCACTGGCGAATGTTCAGTGCAAACTAACCAGGATACTTTCTGTTGAGCCCACATGAGAGCATCTGGATTAATTAAACTGGCTTGTACTAGTTTAATTGCACTGATTTTCAGATAAGCTGATGGAACTTTTGTATGTATAGATGCCCTTCACCTACAATGGGCCAGCTTTGTATTCAGCTACTGTCACTATCTTGTGTAGACATCCTTATCTTGCCCTGGTAAGAGAGCACTAGTGCAATCCCAGCAGCCTGTGGACCAGCAGTGGCTACAAAGTCTGCCCAAGAGGTAGAGTAAGTAAGAGGCTCGTATAAGTATCTCTTGGCTAAGTCATGTTTGTAAAACCTGCAGTTACTGACTTGATCAACTCACAAGGCACCTTTGGCAAAGCACTGCAACAGATCCTTGCAGCATCCTGATGGTGCAGATGGTGCTGCAAAGTCCCTGTCATGTTATTAGAGCAGACAGGGCTGGGAACCTCCTCCCCGGAGAGATGTACCATCACATTCCACAGTTGCATTTATGACTGGGAGGCTGATGAGTATTTAATGCTCTGATTATGGAGTGCATGAGTCTGCACAATTCAGACTTGCTTCTGTCATGCATCAGGAGCCACCATTCATGGAGTGAGGGATGAGAAGGATGCTAAGCTTCCACCTGAAAGACACATGGCATCCAAAATCCCAGCACATAGCTCTGCACATGGAAATGAAGTAAACCACTTGTTCCAAAGCAATGTGGATCAAGTTGAGCAGTATGAACATTTCATACAAGGAAGCCAATTTACTTTTTGGTGGTGGTTGTTGTTGTGGTTTGGTTTTTGGTTTTTTTTTGGCTGTACTTTTCCCCCAAAGAGCTTAGCAGAGTGTAAGAAGATACATGACTTTTGGTTGCTTCCATTTCCTGACACCTCTGCAGGGTGTAGTCAGTTCCAATCATTGTGACAGAAAACCAACAGAGATGCAGCGAGAGGAAGAGTAGAAAGAATTTGAAAGTTAGCTGAAACTTTTAGTATTTTCTTGAAGATGAATGTTTCATGGCATTGACCTGCATTTTTCAACCATCTCTATATATAAAGTCTCAAAATCATCTTTCAAAAGAATTTCTAATACTAAGTAAAAATAGAAACAGACACTGAGTATGGTTTACTGGAAATAGCCATGTACCAGATAGATAGATGGTCAGATCTTGCATATAGCAATTTTTATGTGTACACAAAAGGAATGTCTTGGGTTTGGTTAATTTCTTCAGAATTATTAAGCATCCTGAAAGAAGTCTGTTCTGTCAAAAAAAAACCTATTTAATGAGAAGCACCACCTGAACACATTGTCAAGGAGTTAATCACACTGCACTCTACTGTATGTAAAGTGCTGTGCAATTTAGCTTCATAATTATGCTCAAATGGAAATGGCCACATTCCTCCAGTGCATAAATTTCCATTCATATTTTCTAAGGTAAGACATATGTCTCTTCACATAGCTAGTATCATGATTATATATCATAATTTTATGTGTATGGAGGGAACTTTACTGAAGGCCTGGGGGCAAGTTCCCACAAAGCTGAAACTGGCACGAGTACACTCGCTAGAAAAGGTGTGTCAGTCAATGTGAGGAAAACATGATTGAAAGAAAAATGTGTTAATGCTTTACACTAGTGGTTATGAAATTATCTGCATGAAAGAAGACAAGTACTGTGGCTAATTAGGAATCTGGGCAAGTATAGGATTTGTGTCAGACTAGACTGAGAATTGAATAAATTACTCTTGCATTTAATTGACATGTCAGGTTAACTAGTCAAAGTGATACTTAAGGGTTTACCTGTGGATTCACCTCTTTGATTTGAAGAATCAGTGCAATTTTATTTTTTTAGCTTTGAAGTGAACAGCATTGTTCACTTGTACTGCCTTTCATTTTTTTATTCAGATGTTGTAGCCACAGGAATAGAGTTGAAAAGTGATAAACCTGGAAAATTGCACTGAAACTTGCCTGTGAGAGGACTTTTCACCAAATACTTGCAGTGTTAGCATGAAGGATTTTATAGTGAAAAAATATAGTTTAAATCTTTATGGGGAAATCAGAAAAACCTTTGATCTCTGTAAACAGCTAAATACAAAAGCAGGGAGTAAAAATAGGGCTCTATTTGACTCTTGTGATGTTAATATTTTGTAAAGGACAGAAATTAGTACATATATGCATCTAGGAAAATGAGATAGTTTGATTTTTGGCAAAATAAGGCATTTATAGTGGTTTTCATCAAAGGAAGTGGCTTCTAGAGATATAAAATATTTAATTTGCTATAGAAAAAGCAAAAGTCTCATAAACAATTCGTAGTATCCTGCAACTCCATTTTTCCCCCTTGTTCTTCATAGGAATTTCCTTTCCTGTTTCTTAGCAGATGATGCTAATGGAGATTGTTCTAGTGAACCTGTTCTTGAAACTGTATCAGATTTATTTGTTTTCTTTTCCCATTGGTAATTGAGATGAAGTTTAGAACAACATGTTCTTTTTTGGCTACCTTAAAATTGGTTATGGCCTCATGTCATAAAATAAAAGTACCTGCTTATGCTTGGATCAGAGAGGCAGAGAGCAGTGCTGTAGAGGGCCTGGCTCTTTTCCCATATTTGTATAAGGTGAATTTGTTGCAGTCAGAATGTGTATTCAATTTAAAGCTGGTGCAAGCATGATAAAAAACAGGTGAAATATGCTTTGCATGATGGTGCTAAAAAAACATCTGAAGGTGTTCAAGTTTTTTTCCCCATGGTTCCAAGTCAGCACAAGATTTTGGTAAGGGGCAAAACTCAGTGGCTAAGGACCTTGTTCAAATAAGCATAGCTACTTCTGCCAGCTTTGGAGGTGGATAGTGGGATCTGATATTGAGGACTGTGTTGAATAAGATCACTTTCATCACTTGGAAACTGTTAAATAATTACTAACTGCCATGAAACAAGTCACCACGGTTCTTCATATGTGACTGTTGTGAGTTGGTTTCTCTATGATTGCTGCTGTATGTACTCCTTTTGAGTACATTGGACCCCCTCATCTTCTGAGCTGGAATAGGATCATGCCCTGTACAGCACAAACTTTACACATCTCCAGTTTAAACAGCACCTTTCATAGGTGATGGCAGGTCAACCCTTACCACCCGCAGAATGGTTGTGAATGTGAATATGCTTTTCTGCCCGTTTCGAG